TTTTCCCTGATGTGCTACGTACCGACGTGGTGAAGTCTTTCGATGTAGTTGGAGGTGTGGCACGAGCAATCTTTAACGTGAAGAAGTTTGAACTTCTCAAAGATGGTATATTGACCGCGGTGGGCGCAGTAGATGTGGCTTTGTTGAGACGGGCAGCTAGGCTTTCGAGCGGGCAGAACAGCATACGAACCGATGAGATAGGCAATAAGCTCTTCCATATCTTGTCGAACTCTGGCGATAATTTCAAAGGTTACACGGTCACGTTCGCCAGCAATCACACGCGTGATTCGATTGCACGAGGAGTTGCCGAGAGGGGAAGAGATGAACTGCTAGCCTTTGTGGGGGAATCTATCCGCAACCAAGATGTGTCCAGAATGCTTGGAGGAGGAAGTACGGTTGGCAACTTGTTCGAGCAAGCTGCACACCTCGAAATCAGTGGGCGCCGAGCCGACGGAGCACCGTTCGATATGGCAATCCTCAACGCTACACGTAGTGAGGTTCTATCGGGGGAGAGAAAGAAATGGGATTTTAGTTTCAACGAAATGAAGGTATTCAAGGGCAACGACACTGCTTTTAAGTATGACAGTGAGATCTACTACAGACCATACAGTCTGGTCTTTCCAGGGATTGATTCGTTCGCTTTGGACAGTCGTGATGATACCTTGTACTTTTTTCAAATGAAGTATACAGGCGCAGAGCCTATCGAGCAAGGATCTAAAGTACAGAGTTTCTGGGACGCAGCTGTTGCATCCGAGGATGTGTCAGTCAAGAAATGTGTTATAGTTTTCGTGGTCCCAGAGGGCACCGCATTTGAGAAGTCAAAGGTGTTGAGCAAGTGTTGGCTGCCAGGAGCAAGTACTGATTTTCTGTCCGCGTGTGGTGTATGCATTATTGCAATCAGATGTTTGCCGTTGTAGTCCTTCAGAACATTTCAAGATGTATGGCGTTCTTTCGGCAGTATAACGCAGCACGGCGGTATTGTTTCGGCGGTACTTGTAGGCGGGTTGCTGTTTTGGCGGCAGCGACTTGGGGCGGTAGAGCTCACAACCATGACACGTTGGTGATCAAAAGCGGTTATTATCCGTTTTTCGGCGATGATGTTTGCGGCACTACTACTCTCCCCCGCCTTGACTAAGATATTGAATTCAGCAAAGAACTGACGCAATATCGCTGGCCAACGTGAGTCGTTCGGATCGCGACAGGTACAGTCTGAAGCGTTGTGCATCGGAAATATCATTCGACATTGCGGCCTTGGAGAATCGCGGTTGCTTATTAATTACTTTACGAAAACGCTCATCAGTTTCTGCTCGGCTGTGGTAAAGATTAAAGCTATCATATGGGCGACGAGTTCGCTCCGTACGGGGTTCCCGACGGCGTGAAACCAATTCCTGCATTTTCATGAAGCCTGACGTATTACTTCACGTTTTTCATCCTCGCAGGTGGAGGCCCGCCCCCCTTTTGCCAAGGTGGTGGTATGTTTGTGGAGGGGCGGGGGTTTGCCAGAATATGTAGACTTGACTGAGCGCGCACCTTGTAAAGAGGTCGTAGCTAGGTCTGCCCTACGGCGTGATTGGGAGGGTCGTGTTGAAAACATCTTTGCCGAGATGAGCCTCAGCCACCGCCGTGCGGGGGTTGGTAGGCTTGGCAACTGGCTAAAGGCAAAAGGCCATCAAGCCGGCGGCAGCCAAACAAGAAGATTGAAACCTAATAGCGGAGTAAGTCTATCCCCCCCTACCAAAACGTTCCCAGCGAAAAGCGTCAACTGAACAAAGTTCTAAACCGGGGCTGCTAGGAAAGCCGAGACGAAGTGAGTATGTATGACACATTTGTCTTCTGTTCTCCCCCCCAAAAACAGTCCTGGTGAAGTTTTCGAAAGAATCCAGCAACAGGCGGACCAGCCAGAGCTGCATGAGACCATGTGTGAAAGATTCAAATACGCCTCGACCATAAGAAAGGGAAAACGCCTAGAACCCATCCACTCCGTCAGTTTTGGTGTATGTCACTGCTTCGAAACGCGCTCGACCAGCATCAAGCCACTCAAATATTACCCATTCATTGCTGGAGCAAACCTCGGGTATACACCAAAACACAATTCAACAAGCTGAGAGGCAAAAAAACAACAGTATATCGTTCACAACGCCTAAATTTAACACCGAGCAACATACACCAAAACTGACTTGAGACGCTCCCACAACCCGAAAGCACACAACCCCAGTACATACACACACGTGAACAATGAAACATACCAATCAACATACATCGTACACAAAAACTCGGGGCGCTCCCGAAACACAAAAGCACACAACAAGCCCAATACATGCACACACCTGAAGAACAGCAGTTAGCCAGAAACGCAACACATCACCTTGCATCACCAGGGAAGCAAATCGCTCCCAAACGCGTTTTCCTTCCAACATGAAAGAGGTCAGTCAATCAGCCAAATCGACATATACCAAATCGAACGACCTTGAGTCACACACTCCGATCTCGAAAAAGAGGCGGTCCAACAAATGTATAGATAGACATATATCGAGCATTACTGTTGTGTAAACTTCGAAGTCCTGGGGTGCCTGTGATGCGGCCTACTTTTGTTGACAATGGAGAAAGCTGACCGCCTACCGCAACATAGTTGAGGGCACGGGAGCAGGAACTCACGTTGGGGGCGAGTGGCCTCTTCGTGACTCTGGCTGTACCCACTTTTCCAATACGTGCGCCATTATCATCTTCTGTCACCGGTCAGGATGCTCACGTGCTTCACTTACTTGTCTCGTCGATGGTGACTCTCACAAATTCCTGTACTGCACGCGCCCTGCATAATCTGTTTTTCGCCGCTTGTTCGCGAATGAAATGGGCATGCGTTGTTTTGTCTATTGGTGCCACAGAGAAGCTGCGTATTGAACGCCAGCTGTAATGCCTTGCTTTTGCGGTGGCCTTTTCCCGTGTCTTGTCTCGCGAGGGTGTCGGCGGGTTCGCTCGTGCCTCTGCCGTTCCGTCGATTGTGGTTTGATTGAATTTACTGTAGCACCAGAAAGGACCGAGACGTTGTCCCGCCGTCTGATCGTGTCATCCCGAACTACATCTGGCGTACAGTGGTGCGGTGCCCTCGAAAATGTGGGGCTTGGTCATCGCCCTAGTTGTCAATCGTCGCATGCTTCAAAATTTTGAAGGCTCACGACAGAAGTGAGAACCAGGCGAATCGTTGCACCCTTTTTATTGCTCTCACGATCCCCCATGTATAGGTCGTCCCTTCTCATTCAGTCGCGAAGCGCTCAACAGGGAAACTGCCCCCGTTGTTGTTTCAGTCGCTACTATCTCCGAGCTTTCAGATACCATCTGACGTCCGCACTATATGCCTCGTCTTCCGTTGTTTCTTCGTCACATACGCCTTTACTGCCCTTTCGGTCGCTGCTCTCTTGGGATGGTGATTTGAATGGCGTCTTCACATACATGATGGCATGACGTCAGGTGTGTAAATTTTGAAGGTTTCTGCTAGGAGATGGGTATCTCACGTTGTGCTGTCATTGTATGAGGATCTCGTCACTTCTCGACGTGGCGGTGCGATTGACACTGAAAGAGTCAAGTTATGGCCTCAGTCCCTCTTCTGAATTGGTCCTGCGTCAGTCAAATGGTGTACAACCAGGACTTTACGTACGCGGCCATACATAGTGAAATTGAACCGTCCCTGTCCGGAACTTTCTACGGCGCCCCAAGGGAATCCGGTCTTCCAGGGGTCATGTTTCTCATTCGATGGCAAAGCTTTTATCTGAGAAGTGGCGAGGTTACACCCACCCAGTTGTGGTGTGTCAGGACGACCACTCGGCGAGCGAGGTTGTCGGTGCTGTATGTGGCAGGACGGAAGACAGCATCACAAATGTAGATGGTATAGGACAAACTACTGGTTGTAGCCACGCCACAGTGCCGATGTGTCATAGCGTCCTTCATATTCAATATGCTCTCGAATCGTGGTCGTGGGTTCTAGTCGTCACATCTAGTGACGATGCTGCAGTAGTGATTGGATGTGGAGGACCCCCATTCATACCGTTGTCCCGCGCGCTGGTCGATTTTCATCAACTTCGGCCGCGGGCTGGTGTTTTCTCGATGTGACTCAAAATCCATTATTCTGTCACCCCCCTCTGTATTTGGTCCGTTGAAGCCAAGAAGACATGATCAACAGCAATCAAACGCAACAAATCCTGAGGTCAATGAGATAGGGGATGAGATGTGTGCAGTGGAGTGCTCCACAGGTGGACGATTGCACAGGTTGGGGGGGGGTTGGTCTACCCGGGGGGGGGGGGGTTGGCCATTGTCAATCTGGGTGGGGTATTTCAAAGTCAGCGGTCTTCCGCACGTTGGCTAACGTGGAGTGGTTGACACGTTGGAGCCACGTTGGGGTGTCTTTGACCTTGATTTTAAGGTCTTTAAGGTCGTGGTTGACACATTTGGGCCGCGTTGGTGCGTTTTTGGCCTTGTCATAAAGACCTCAGGGCTTCGGGGTACCATAAAAAAAGGGTCAAAAACGCCTCAACGTGGCTCCAACGGGTCAACCACTCCACGTTGCCAACGTGGGGAAGCCCGCTGCCCTTGAAATCCCCCCCCAGATGGAGGTGGGCCAACACTCCCCCCCCCCCGGGTAGACCAACCCCCCCCCAACCTGTGCAATCG